GACAAATATCATGGTTCAGTAAGGACAATTAAAAACCCAAACTAAAAGTATAACTTCTGGTTAGCTCACAATAATCCTTTTTTTATCCTTGCCAAAATGAGAATGGAGAGCTAACATTGTCTTATAGATTATGTATCAATTCACTACAAGACTATAGTTTTATTTTTAACATCTTCATAACCTTTAGATCTAAGTAAATCTAGCAACAAAAAATTTTGGAATAAAAAGTCATAATTTTTTTTTGTGAAAGTTTCAAACTTTCCTACATTATTTTACACTTTTAAATCATTGTTCAAATGAAGTAAGAACCTATAAACTCACTGGAAACCAAATCAGTTTTTCACTGTCCATGAACTCTCACTATTTATGCAGTTTTGGTTGATGATTTTTGTTTCTCTTTACTTGTGCATTCTGTGAGATTTTTTAAGGTGAAAGGCTTCTTTTCCCTCTCTTATTCTAGAATTCTTTTGAATGAATTTGTTAAGGTTCTTCAGAGATGTTTTTCAAAGTACAGCATAGAAGCAAAGACCTGTATCTATAAAGAAGAAACTTGCAGATATCAAACTTTATCAATGTAGGTACTGAATCATGAAAATAGGTGAGTGGGAGTGCTAGTCACATGACCCACCATGAGGGAAGGTAAGTGAAGTAGTTGGAAATGCAGGAGGTAGGACCCTTGTATTCCCTTTCTTTTGGTCCCAAGTCTTAGTTCTTGCTGGCCAAATTGAAGTGTGCACCTCTCTTAGATGGGATCCAAGTCCGACCCCAGGATGCTGCTTTGGCTGTCATAAAGAAACCCAGAAATATGGTAACACAGAACCTTAAGTTTGATCTGCCCAAAGGGCCATATCTGTTAAGTAAAATGAGAAGTATTCCTAGGGAACTAAGTTCATTTCTGTTGAATGAGTGAGTTCCCTAACAGGGATTCCTGTTGAAATCAATGCTTTAAGAGAGGTTTGGGAAAGGAGAACTACACTTTTCCATTTCCAGCTGCTCTTCCAAGAGCACTTTGGGTCAGAATGCTCTCTCAGACCAGGATTTCATCTTTCCAAAATGCCTCTGTCTTATTCTATCTTATGCAAAAAGCTTTTATGAGTTGCCTTATGTATTGGCTCTGGCTGAGCTTGAGTTCATTTCCTCATAGTAGACCTCACAGTGTTGTGCTTTGCATTGGCAGCTAGAAGGGTGTTGACAACACACCGCTGTTTTGGCTACTGCTGAGCACAGCACCAACACTGTAACATTCCTCCCCCAGTTAAGGGCAAGATCCTGGGAGGGGACACAAGTAGGCCACCTGATCCAAACTGACCAAGGGGATATTCCATACTGTATGACATCAGCTCAGGTATAAAAGCTATGGCAAGGAGCAGGAAGGCAGGCATTCATTGTCTCCAATGGCTGCCAGCTGAGGAACCATTATGCATGCTGAAGTCCTGCTTCTTGGAAGTGGCCAATCATCACTGCTGATGGGAAGTAGAGAACAAACCATGTTATCTTTTCATTTGCTTTTGTGCGTGCAAGCTTTCATCTAGCTTCTGCTTTAATAAACTGCCTTATCCCAACTCATGAGTTGTTTTCCATCTTACTCCCTCCCCTGTCCGGCTGGGAAGGGGAGTGATAGAGTGGCTGGGTGGGTACCTGGCATTGAGCCAAGGTCAACTCATCACAGTAAGGTTCTATCAAGTCACTGGTAGATGTGTTGACCACGCTGCTGTCTGAAAAGGGACTTGTTACATAGCAAGGCAAGTTTGCACAGACCATAATCTGCATACTGTCTTCTAAAGAAAGATGGCTCGTGCCAAAATTTTTTTCTTTTATCTTGAAGATCCAGCATCACTCTGAAAACAAGCACCGGTATTATTGCTTATTCAAGCTTTTAGTAATCAGTCACCTGGCTATTAATAATTCCTTAATTTTTACACTGATCAGGAGACACTTAACAGATGAAATAGAGTTTTGTCTATTCTTTCATTAAACTAAAAAACTAGATCAATAGTACAATATGAATAGAATAGTTGCCTTTTATTCAAATGCCATGCTATATCTTTGATGTGTAATTGATACAGACAGCCTGATCTCTTTGTGGAGTAGAAGATGATGTAGAAATGCAGCTTAGTCATGCCTTTTTGGTGTGGTATTCTCAGGACATAGACTGCATAATTGACTACAGACATCTTAGTTTAACAGGCATCTTTTAAGTTTCATCCAGTCCTAGTAATATGTATACAGTCCCATGGGCTGCATCCAAGGATTATGCTAATTTTATTAGCAACTCCTCTTGCTTTAATTAAACTGTATAAATTCCCACCTGGTCACTGTTGTGCCAACACCCTTCTTTCCATTTTTATTTCAATTTATAGATAATCTGTAGTTTTGTACGTCAATTCTGATTTTCTGAATGATCCATCACATTTTCCACATGAAATAACACAACTTTGAGGGATGAATGAGACTTCAAATTGAATTAATGGGTTTGAGGAAACCTCTGGGTCAAAACAAAGACCTAAGTTTCTAAAGTTGGCCAAGTCTTTTTAGGAGCAGGTATTCAAAGTAACTTACTCTCTGAAAACACCAAGCTTTATGCTGCTGTTCAAAATACCTACAAGCAAGCTCTGTACTAACATTTACCTTGTCTATACCACAAAGTAGAGCAATATGAATTCCTTAGTGGACTGTTAATTTACATGTTATACACTTTCAAATATTTCCGAAAGCAAATGTGAAATGATTAGTAATCTGTTCACATGCTCACAAAATGTTATTAGCAAAATGCCTTGGGCAGTATGTTATGTTGACTAAAATTGATAATTTTGTATTTTAAAACTAAAGTAACTCCCACTGCCCCTGACAAATTTTAGGACCTGCCCAGAGCCCAGACCTCCTGGTCACACCGGTTTTCAAGGTGTGAGTTGAACCGAGGGGGAAAAAGACCAAAACCACCACAAATGGCACCCCACCCCCCCCAGAGATGTGACCTAAGGTTTGCAGTGATTTCAGCTCTTCTGAAAGCCTCATTAAAAGTCTTCTGTGGAGTCCTGCATTTACAATACCTTGCTATCTACAAAAATCACTACGAAGAGGTGATTTTTGTGTTTTCCACTCATTCTGCTTGTGTAGGTTTTAAGGTGTGTACGTTGCACTGAAGAAATCAAGCCCACTGGTTCTTTTTACTTCTGCGTAACTGTCTGTATTCAACTGCATGTGGTTCTAACAGAACCAAAGCCCTGGACGAAATATCTCATACTCCTCAAACTGTTGAGGTTGTTTTTTCTTTAAAGAAGACCAAAGAGCAAGCTATTTAATGGTATTTGTCAACATATCTCTGTTTTGAATAATGTTTTCCATGCCTTGCAGCCTCAAATATAACATGACACTTCCTCCTAAATACCAATTATTCTGTCCAGAGGAGTTGTCCAAAAGTCTAGTCCTCAGAATTTCACACCAGACTCACATGGGATATTAAAATTCAATAAAAGCCGTTGTAATGGTAAGATTGTGCAAAAAAACTGCACAAGAGCTGAGTATTGTTTCTATGGGTAAAACACACTTTCCAGCAATTTACATTTACATCTATGAAGTAATTGAATAAAGAAATGCATCATCATTATCTTTTTTAGCACATAGGTGAAATATTTTACCAGCATATGAAGGGGTGTTCATATAAGATCACGATGCTTTGTGCTAGAGAAAAACAATTACAGTGAATAAGGTAGAATAGCTCTGTTATTGCAGTACATAAGACTTTGATTACATACTGCCAAGATTCATACCAGCCTAGTAGTTGTTGACAGATAAAGTAACAAAAATGAAACTCATTTATTTTTTCTTTATTGAGACCTCAAGGTAAAGCAAATTTTCAGTTCTTGTACTTACTACATTGAAGGAACAGAGACTGACAGTCAAAATGTGCCAGTGCAGAAATATAAATTAAACCTAGTTTCATATCAAAGTTTCATTTAGTCTCTGAAAAGGAGCTGCTGCTTGGATTATTTTTGATCCTAAAACAAATACACTGTAGACAACCTAGGGTATCTAGGATGAATTAACCCCCTCATACATTTAGCTTTTATGTTTTTGTCAGGGTATAGATCAATGTCGATTCAAGTGATTTAAAAATTTGTTATGGACAAAATTATTTTACATCTTTTTTTTTTCTGTTTAATTATCATTTATTGTGTTTGCAAACGCAGTAAACATGTGGTTGGTTTTAATAGTGTAGCCTTTTTGCTGAAGAAAGAACATACTTTGAGGAAAAAGTCCATCCTCCCTCCTTGTATAAGGAAAATTCTGGCTTTTATCATGAGTTCCTCTAGGCAGCTAGATGCTGCATTATTTCTTGATAATTCTAACAAATGACTTTTTTTGTAAACTTGTTTATTTTCTAAAGAGCAGATAAAATTAGCTGTTAAAATAGAAAGTGCTAACATGATTTGATTTGCCCCATCAAAATCTTGGATTAGTTACCTAGTCCAACTGAGCATAATTGCAGTTCAGATTAATGAGGCAGTATCCTAGTATCTCCTCTGTAATTAAACACTTCTCTTGTTGAATACAGTATTAAAGATGCACCAGACGTTGAAACCTCAGTGGTGAAATTTAAAACTGTTGAAACTGGAGGGGTCAGCTGTGAAACACAAATTCCTCTGCAGTATGGATAATTCACTTGTACAATGTGTTTCAAGAATAATTTGGCTTATGTTGGGGGTGCTGGATTTTTAAAAAAATTTTTCTTATCTTTCCATCATCTAAATTTGAGAATTTTTTCTCATTAGTTCCTGAGCAAAAGTAACATAAAGTGCACTTGTTTCCAGAATTACCTTTTCTGACCTTTCACAAGAAGATAATTGCAGTACCAGTAGGCTTAGAGGACTTGTTAAAAAAATTAAGCTTGTAAAGTAGCAAAAAATGCCCCTTTGCTTGCTGGTATCGATTTCAAAATTAACATTTTAGTTCATGTGCTTCTAATAATCGCTGACCCTTACTTCATGTGCTTTCCACAGGAAATGAATACAGCAGAAATTACTTTGACCCGCTGATGGATGAGGAAATAAACCCAAGGCGGTGTGGGATGGAGGTCAGTGAAGAAGGTGAGGCAGAATTAAGTATGTAATTTTGGTGTCAGAATATTCTTTTCCATTCATGAAAATGAGGTGACAGAGATCACATATGCAGTTCTATTTAAATATTGAGGTTTACAATTTAAATTCTAAGCCTTAACTGCTCTGAACAGGATAGGCAGTATACATAGTCTTTGATCAAGGACAGTGAGTTAATGGGCGGGTAAAAATGAGGCTGCGCTGTATTCGCTCTGCCACTGTAGCAAAAAGAAGCGTGTTCCAAGAGTATTGTCTACATCATGTTCTCTTTAATTAATGAAGTTAGTCCAGAACTGAGTGCTAAGCTGCAGCTTTTTCGCAACCCTGCTCCCAAAGTCCTCCTTGGAGAGCAATTTTATTACTGAGTTGAATGTGTGTTTGCCTAATAGAAGGAAACCCCAGACTGCACCAAAGTGCATGAGGAGGCTTTTTTGTTATTTTTTTTTTCCCCTGGTTTACCCGAGATGTTTAACTTTGCTGTCTGGGGACGGCAGGGGCAGGTGGGAGGGTGTGACTCTGCAGAGATGGAAGAACAGAAGTTATGCATAGGTGTGAGAGAGATTAACCAGGAGGTATTGTCTAGTAGAGGAAATTCTCCTCTGCTGTCATGGCTTTTAGATAAAAAAGGGTGGGAACGGGCCTGCCTGAATTTGTATGGACTTAAGTAAGAACATCATCATGGTAATGAAGTGCTTAGCTATGCACTGAGTGCTTTGGCCCAGCTCCTGTTGTTAAGCCCTAACAACCTGATAGCATGCAAGATCTAGTTCTCCTGTGTTACGCTTCTATCCCTTTGTTTTTTTAAAGTGTGCACTTATTTGTACTGCAGAGACTCTCTAGTTGTGCAGATGTAGTCAGATTATAAAAAGTTATTTACTACAAAGGGTCTCAAAGTAGTTCAGTTCTGAAATTCATGAGAAACTTTGAGGGCATATGAAGGTTTTAAAGTTTTGAGACAAAAACTTGTGTAACTTAAAAAAACCAGCCTATAATGCGTATCAGTAACTTGAATTTCTGTGTTCTGGTGAAAAAAAATCAGGGGTTATCAAGATTGGTTTACATCTCATCCCAATAATTTCCACATTCATTGTGTAGGACAGCAGTGTAATACCTTGGAAGTCAACTTCTAACTCAGAGTTTTTAAATGAAAGATTTTTTTCCTGTTGGTCCTGCATTGGTTTATCCTGCAAGTAGGCTTTGTGAGTCAAGATCTGCTTCATAACCAGAAAAAGAGAAGTAGATTAAATTTCTGTATCTGTACATGTGTGCCTAGTGGTAACATAAGGGATATATGGGAAGGACAGTTCTCACTGGGAGAAAATGTTCCCTTGACTGTGTTGAAGAGGCTGAGTGAAACACTTAACCTTAAATGCTGATTTTGTATTTTCTGATAAGGGTTCTATCTATTTACTTATTTTAAAATTGGGAACAGAAGAAGGCTCTTAGAAAGTCCATTGGGTTCTTGGTTTTGAAGTGGGGAGGCAGTTTTAGGCAATTGCATATCATGCTAAACCTGAGGTCCATGTGTAAACAGCTGTCCTTTGGTGTTCCTCCTTTTTTGTCCTGGCAAAAATGTCACTCATATGTTGATATAACACTTGCTTATTAAAAGTCTATTAGCAACAGTATTGGCTTCAAGTACTTGGTTGTGTTGACCTCTGTAGAGCAGTTATAATGGCATATTTTCCAACACTTCTACCAAGAGCAAGTCTTCTACTTTGGAGATATTCAAAAACTGCCTGGACAGGGTCCTGGACAATTTGACTATAGGTGGCTCTGTTTGAGCAGGGGCAACTGGGCTAGATGGACTCCAGAAGTGCCTTCCCACCTTAATGAGTCTGATTTGGTGATACTCAAAAACCAGGCTCACTGGCTGTCTTTTCCTTGCAGAAGTGTTAAATAAGTTGAACTACATTTGTGCGTAGTGGATGGAGATAAAAGGATGGTCAGAACTGCATGGTCCTGCATAATCATCCCCTAACTGGAAACCTTATAGATTTATCTCCTCTTTCCAGCTAGCAGCTTGCCACAAGCAAAAGCCAAAACCAGAAAAAGATGAAGAAATCAGGGCACATTTTAAAGTTACACTCTTCTTAGGGCTTAAGAAAGTCAGGCCCAATGCCCTAAGAGAATAGCTGGTGAAAAGCAAATCTTCAGCCACTAATTCTTCTTTAATGGGTTATTTTGTGAAAATAAAGATGTTGACAATTATTTTTTCTACCTTTGATAAATTATATTTGTTCTGGACATTTTTCTGAGTTGATAATGCTCTGAGAACAAACAACTCACTATGGATTTGCTTGACCCCTTCACCAGGGGGACATTTCAATGTTAAATGTAAAAGATTCTGTACTTTCAAAAGAGGTTTGCAGAAGCGACCACCTTCTTTGAATGCTCAGTGTAACAGAAAACTTGGCTCTGAAATTTTGTGGTAAAGAAAATTTATTCTTTGAGATTCTTTCAAGCACTTAAAAAAGCCACTCAAGGTTGCTTGTAGCTGTACTTCAACCCACCTGTCTTGTATGCATTTCTTTGGCCTTCTATCTGCCTGTCTTCACCAGCAGCTTAGAGAAGTCACAGTCTGGGAGATCTGGAGAGAAGACAGTCCCACTTGCTCATTTCACCCTTGAATATAGACCTTTAAGGTGATATTTTTTTTTTTAGGTCTCATGGAAAAAGGTAAGTGTGCATGTCCTTTGCTGCTTTTTAAAATCTGCACATATTACTGACAATTTGAATGACTGACCAGCCACAGAATCAAAATTCATAGTGTGCTATAATTACTCATACTAATGTTATACATGTTAGTATTATGGAGAGCAAGGTAAAATTTCTGATGAAGATCCAAAATCACATTAGAATAGAAATTGGGTATTTTGATTTTCATAGAGAGTCAAACAGAATTTCTCTGACAATTTGAATATAAACAATCATTTCAGCTAGTCTATTAGCAGAATTAATAAAACAATTTCAGTCCAGATCAACGTATAATTAGGCTCACCATTTAAAAATATATATTATATTTTTATTTTAAATTGTCTTTCACAGAAGAGGTTACTGTAATTTTATTCTGAGCTCCGAAAGGAGCACTGTCTAAACTATCTTTAAGTGTCAAATGGCTTCCTATGTTTATATCCTACTTTTAGTTTAAAATAATGTTTCCTGAAATACAACAGGAAGAAACAATAGCTGTTTCACTGTTGTTTTTTTAAGATCCTGTAAAATCTGATGAAGAAATCCTGTACTCTAAACTGATGAAGCTTCTAGATGAAGAAAACAAGATGCTGGACTTCCAAGGTAAATAACAAAATCAATTGCATAAAGGAAAATAAAACTCTTCTGAGTCTACATGTGGGGAGGAGAGTGGGTAATCCATCCCCTTGAACTCAGAAGTCAAAGGGATGCTGATTTTAATGCAAGCCTGTAAGGTCTCTTTCTCCAAATGTTTTTGTTTTGAGTCATGTTTATGTGGTTTAAAGTGTAACTTAAGTGGCGTGCTTTCTCTAGATTACTTCACTGCATGTTGAATTACACACTTAGGAAAGAAAACTGGAAATACTATTGCTTACGCAGTCAAATCTAGAAATCCAAATCCTTTCTTAAGCTGGTAAATGGGTGGACCATTTGCCAGATACACAGGTGACATCACACTGTTTAAGGTTATCTATATAAGGATTTACAGTATCATATGAGTAAGAAAATATTTCCTGTGACTTTGTTAGAAAATACATATTGATGTTCCATCTACAGTAAAAGCAATAAAGTATAGGAGATTTCTTCACCTCAAGCCAACAGCCTTACTTTGGCTGGTTGTACAAGACCCAACTCTGACCTGCCCTTGTATTTTTATATATCCCCTCTCTCCTTTTTCAGCAGAGGTCTATTGTGCAAAAGTATTTTCTGTTCTTTGTATCTGTATGAAGTTTCCTGTTGTATTTCAACAATACACAGGGCCTACTCTGTCAAACAGAGACCAAGTAAGTGGTTGCCCACAGCACTGGAGCTCCAGGAGCTGCAATGTTTTATGACTATTTAGTTTATAGGCATCTTTGCTCTAGAAGATGCAAATGTTTTCATTCACCTAGGGTTGAAAAATCTCTTGAACTGGCACTGGTCATATCAGTAACATCTTTGAAACCCATTTTACCTCAGCATAAATGCAAGGAAAAAAAGTGCGACCATCACAACTAAATTCACACAGATACTTTAAGCAAAAACCTTTAACAAATTATCAGCAAGTTCTCTATTGTTATATGTTAATGTAGACATCCACATTACTGAAAAAGATAATAGCAATGCTGCAGGTTGCAACATAGATGAAAATAAAACCATGTTTGGTGGTGAAACCAACATTATTTCTCTATGAAAGATTGACATGGGGTGTCTATCTGTGGTACTTATCTAGTCCCTGTTTACAAGTGTTTATAGCATTTCATATTCATCAGTAGGTTTATCATCAAAATAATGCCATATGATGAAGGACAATGTCCTGATGTCATTTTATAGGCTGCCTCAGGGTGGGGTCTAGTACCCTCTACATTAGCTTTCTGAAAGTTTAGCCCCACAGGGGCTCCCCCAAAGTGGTGAAAGAGGAAGGGAGAAATACCTCTGGGCAGTGAGTCAGCTCGCCTCACACAGATGGCTCTTCATTGGTTAGAAGAATTACACCTTGGAAGCTGTTCTTCTCTTTCCTTTGGCTCTAGAATGATCTTGGACAACTAACTTAGACTTGACCATTGCTTTTTGGGTGGCTAAATTGAAGGGGCAAGCAAATGCATTAGCATGCATGTCTCACACTGCATATGCACATCAGAGTCCCCTGGGAGTTGGAGCAAGCTGGGGAGACACTGCGGACCACTGTGTTATGTGTCTCAAGCAGTGCCTCAGTGCTTTTATGAGTGCCATAAAGGCTATCAGAGCTAGTCCTGGGTGTGAAGTTGCACACTGTTCTAGCTGAATTTTTAATTTGCTTTGCTTGGGTGAATAAAATCCAGAAAAGAGAAAGATTTTCCCGAGGAAGTGAGATTTCTGCAGTTTCCATCTCTGTGTGCATGTATCAGGCTGTATTTATTTCTGTCTGGTTTTCCTCCCCGATTTTTGAACTTGTTCATTTCCAAACCTTTATTTTAACAGAGAGTAAGACTCACAGGTATGACTTCCCTACCAGTTTTGTGGAAGCAGGCAGTTGAGCAGAGAAGACAAGCATTATTAATGTCTCCACTGAGGGAAAAGCTAATATGGGAGTTGAGCCTTATTAGACATCAGAAAATCAGTATAAAACTAGGATTCATTTGGTTCCACTCTTACAGAACTGCTTCGTTTCTTCGTTTGACCACTGAGCTGAAAAATCACATAATCATACAGTCTTAATTAATAGATGATCCCCAAAGGAAAGGAAAGAACATGGCTCAAAATTTATATAATTTTATATTTAAAGCATTTTGTTGATGAATAACCTGTTGGTCATTCTTGTGGTATGTGTTAGTTCATACTATAAGGCAATTCAAAAGACAATGTAGGTGGTTTGATTTTAAAAATGTACACTGTATATTTTTTACCTAGTGATAAAATCTCTCAAACAATGTAAGATTGTGATCCATGCACATATTAAATGATGCTAGGTGAATACCATAAAAAAATAATTACTATTATATTGTTCTTTGGCAAGAACCGCAAAATTGAAGTGCCAGGTTTTGCAGCATTTTAGTTGTCTGAAACCAATGCATGAACCTTTGGCAATGGACTTCTTTAGATACAATTTATACACAATTTTTTAGAACCAGGTAGCCAAAATTCTTTTTCCGTGTGGAGTGCATAGCAGTTTTATGCATTCAAACCTATGCTGAAGTGTAGTCTGCTGCTGACCTACCCTTTAAATTATCATCTCAGTATATAAAGTGCTGCTATCTGATGGACAAATGAAGTCACAAAGCAGCCAAGTTAATACCGGAGAGATTGTTTTAGTTACAGCACAACATTTGCAGATACAGCCTGTGTTGAGGAGGAGAAGTGATTTAAACTACAAGGAAAGTATGACTTGTGGTGTTAAGTACAACCAAGGTAATGAAAAGTTTTGATGCCCATGCTAACAACTTGAAGCAATAAGTTTTTAATTAGTTTATCATTCTATTAATGAATTTCCTCATAAATTTCCAACCTTTTTTTTTCTGTGTACATGAAGTAGTAGATGGGGCTACTTTTGTACAAGGAGGGTTTGATTGTTTTTTAGTCAAGAATTGCTCTGGGGCATCACTTGAGCCTCCAAACTGTGGATCAGTTCAAACAAGGACCAACCTAATGATGACCAAGTTCAAGAGGTTTCTTTGCAAAGCCACTGTGAAAGGAGTAGACTGGCTGAACTAACCCTGTTCTCTCACTGTTTCTGACTCAGGCAAATGAACAATTTTTCCAACTATGCTTAAATAAGCATATGTATCAAATATTTTTCAAATCTAAATTGTAATTTATCTCTGTATTTTTAGCAGTTGCTTCCCTTGAAAAGGCCTTTTAAAATGTTTTTTCTCTTCTTTTGCTCTTTTTCCACAAAACTTGTGCTAATGAACCCAGTGTCTCCTACCAAAACTGAGTTCGTTTAATATGACTCCTCACAAAATAAGAAACACAAAAAAAACGAAAAAAAAAGATATTTTGATGAATTGTTTCATGGTTGTCTTTCTGAACCAAGTGGTTTTATTTTGTTTTGATATATAAGGACTATCTCTCTACACCCAGAGAATCCTGAGATAGGATTCTACTGACTTCCCAGGACGTAAACTTGCACCGCTCCTGTGAAAGCAGTAAAGCAGCTGATTTATACCAGCTGAGCGTATGGCCTGTTGTGCACAACACAGCATTGAGGGGAACAAGACATGCTTCATCTTCTTTTTCCAGTGCTTCCTGGGTTTTCTCTCTCTGGCCAAACCCTTAATGTTACAGTAAATTTAAAAGTAAATATTGTTTTGTTTTTGCAGTTAATAGTGTAGGTCAAATCACTTTTCATTAGGCTTGTAAAATTCTACATGAAGAGATGTGTACCCTAAGGTAATGGTTTAGGTTGTTTATATCTACTGTACACTTCCCCCAACATGATTTTGAATTGTATCCTGTTGTAATTAAATAAAAAACCCACCCTACTTCCTGTGTGTTGGTGGCACCGAGGTGATTTAAGTACTCGGGAGGTTCAACAATTAAAATCATTAAACAACGAGTAGTGAGTAAATCTGAAAATGTTAATAGCCTTAGTTTTATCTTTCCTTTTCTGGTCTTCATTAGAGAATGAAAGACTTCAAAGGGGAGCGAGGAAAAAAATCCTCTTTTAACTGCTTTTATGTCATAGGATGGACAAAGAGAAGTAAATAAGTAGATATGGCAGTTTCTCAAAGAGATAGACACAGAGAACTATAAAAGCTTACACATAGAAATATGATGCAAGAAAGTCAGACATGGACAATCTGGTATCTGTCATTTTTTTAGTGATTCTAACATGGAGAAATGAGCAAAAATAGTTGTTGTTATTATTTATGACCCAAACTAGTATTACTACTGTAGCAGATATCAATGAGAAGATCTATTTTTTTTAATGTAGCATGATCAATTAAACTGAAAAAAGGACAAAGTTTCTCTTTAAAGGTGAATTTATGAATGGGTTTTATTTTTATTTATGTGTGGCATGTACCCTTTGGTTCTGCATTTGTCATCACAGTGAAATCAGGGTAATGATGTGGGTGAGAGCAGAACTGGACCCAATTAATTAGGCAGGCGTTGCATGTGCACACCTAGGGAAGTAATCCAATCATTTGTGGGGAGTTAAGAGGATGATGAAATGCTTGGTATGGCTTCACCTAAGACTCCCAAAAACCTCAATTGCAGTTATTACTCCTGAAAGCCAAGGTTGTTCCAGATCCCAGTCCCTTTAAGATTTACAGGGAAGCAAAGTGCCCATAGAAATGTAGAGCATGCCTTTTAAAAAGTGTTTAAGAAACAAGCTGCACATACTAAATTTGTACCTGAATGCAGATGTTGCACTCGAGGACAGTTTTTCTGGTACTGGCACTTGGCACTCACCAATTGTTTTACTGATGTTATTTATTACTGTTCATTTTATGGCATGAACTGTTGTCTTAAAATGTTGGTGGGCCAAACATATTAACTGAGAAGGTACTAACCAGTGAATAAACTCCCATTTGCTAAGAAATAATCTTCCACTTTTGTTTCAAGCAGCCCATGTCGTCAGTGAAGATTTTCCAGAATCCGTGATGCCTGTCAGCTCCAGTAAGGCATGTGACCTTCACAGGGAGCTTGAAGATGAAGAGATTCCTTCGTATATTGAACAGTTTGAGAGAGATGTTCAAGATGACATAATTCTGCTTGGCAGCTTTTCACTGGAACAGGTCAGAGTTAAGAACTGTAAGACAATTTTATCGCTTGCTTCATAACATGATGCTGGCTTGTTAACCTTGTACACCCCAATTCTATTTCTCTGCCTGGTGATACATATATTGAAAGAGGAAAAGATAACCACTTTCATTGGCATGCTTTATGTGACTGGCACTTTGCTAAGCTAGCAACAGGACCTTTATCTTTGTCTCCATTTTAATGTGAATTAAAACAGATTGCCTTAGTTGCTTCTTTCCTAAATAGTGGAATATCTCTGACTGCTCTGGAGCAATATCGCAATTGAGTTTCAATCAAGAGACTAAGCTTAGGACATCTCTCTCTGCCAAATTTAACAGAGGGTTATTCGTCTATCAGTGAGCAAGTTCAAATTGGAGCACATGGAGGATTCATGTAGCAATGTTCATTGTACAGTTAATAAGACTATTCCCTAATTATAAATTTGTAATGTTTTTCAGGGTGGCAAAGCTTTCTAAGGTTTTCTTTTTGTCATTTCATAGTGTAAAGAGGCAGGGTTGGGAACATGTTGACAAAGGCATAAGTTTTCGGGGCTGAAATGATACTTGTGGGCACCTAACTACCATTTGTCCCTTTGAAAAATCTCATACTAAGACTAGAAGACAGGAAGAGAGATTAATTGATGAATCTATCATTTTTAATTAGCAACATGAGAACAGCATGCTGGCTCTGATGGGCTTAAAATAGGTTATCCAGTGACTGATGGTGATCTAAGCTTTTTTTATTTTCAGAAAAATTTTTAGATTTTTTTTTTCACTGCAGGACTAAACCTTATCATTTCCTTTGCATGTTGGTGAGAGACAGAATTCTCTTCCTTACTGCTTTCCTCTAAATCCTGAAGCTATATTTCATTCCTTCAGAGTTTTTATAACTGTATGTATCATGAATGGAAGGTGGTATGGGTAATATTGTTCAGAGAATATGAAATGGGAGGGAAACATGAGGGAAAAGGACTCAGATGGTACTAAGAGCCTCATCTGCCTCAAAGGACTGATGGAGTATAAATCCAGGAATAGGGGAACAGAGAGTGCTGCACCTTTCCAGAAGGTTATAGTATGTCGAGATAACTATGCATATAACTATGCTTGGGCTATTCAGATGCCCCCATAGCTTCATGAGCCTTTGTGACATCTAAAGGAACACAGTATTTTGTTTACACTCCCTCTAGACATGGTCACTGTGAGGCTGATCATCTTACCTGGACTCTTTTTGGAGGTGTTCAGTGAAGTTTGTTTACTAGACAGAAACAATATGTCTGGTCATCACAAAACAACATCCTGCTTTTTAGCTGACAACTGCATATATGAATTCACATGTAATACAATATAATACTACTTTTCTTCCTTATATTATTACAAAACAAAGAAAATCCTAATTTAATGTGATTAATTGAGCTGGTCTACCATGAGCATTCAGAGAGGGACTCTATACTGCAAGGAAGAGGTCTTGAATACCTGTTCTTTCTCTCCATGCTTCTCACACATCTCTAACTTCAGTTGTTCATACCCTGCTAAGGAATTTAGTCACATTGATATTGTATCAGTTGTCACATCTGCATCCTGCACTTCAGAGAGTAAAAAGAGGACCACTGAAAAATCTGTATTCTCTTGTAGATCAGTGATCTTTACATCTGTCTTTTCCTTGCAAACTTACAGAAATGATACATTCAGCCCCTCTGAACAGAAAATGGAAGAGGTGACATGGGAAGTAGAGGCTGCAAAAATGCACATCATGTCATTGGTATTCAAAGACATCTAGCAGTAATGTGAGCATGCTAATTCTTGTTTAGTTGATCTTTATTCTTTAATGGACATCTCTACTCTTTGATCTGTGGATATACCCCTGCAGCATTGCAGTGTCGGTGCCTTTCCACAGCAGACACAGGTTCAGTGTTAGGCTGCTGCCATTGGTCTTCAGAATCTGTTCCTGACATCTTTGGGTTGCTTCCAGCTTTTGTTGCTTGAACATATGTTTATTGGTTTGTAAAAGTCTTTAATTTTCTGCATGGCATTTACTTCTTATTCAGTAGAAAAAAACCCCTTCACTTCTCTCTGCAGGTTTAGTGAGTAGCAGATGTACTTTAGCCAGCATAATTTATGATTAGTTAATTTAATCTGCCATAATGACATAAAGTGAGCCTGAAACAAGCTTCTATCAATTTTGCCATTAGAGGTAGCATAATATTTTCAAATGTCTACAAAACTGAGTAATTAACCCTTGGGCTGAGAGGAGTCTAATAGACATCTCTCTCATATTCCTTTGCTTTGACAAAATGAAAACAAAACATGGGAGCCCAAAGGTTAAAAATAACAAGTGAGAGTTTATAGTACGTGAGACTGGTTTTGTAAGTGAGGTTCAGAAATACATTGGACTGCTGCTGTTTGTTTTTAGGCTGCCAAAAATTCTCTCCAATGAGGCATCTGATTTACACTAGAGCTTTGCTGGCAGCATTGGCATGAAGAGGGTAGCTATGCATCAACTATGTATCCCTTAGTTCATTGTTTTTCTTCTCTGTTTTGTAGCATTACAAAAATGGGTAGCTTTTGTTTCAACAGCAGCTTGGTGCATGAGATTACCACTATTCAAAGTTTTTGAAAGAGCAGATGCATTTTTCAAAATAGTATTTTTTTTTGAAAAAAGGAGTTACTCTAGATTTTGGCTCTGGAACTTCAAGCTGTATTGTTTTAACTTTATGTCCTGTTTTGTAAATGTAAAAGCTGATAGTTGGGGTTGGCAAGAAATACTTAAGGGGAGACCTGATAGATTCTTGTAAAGAAAACATTAAGCAGATGTCCATGTTCTGTTAACAAACACATTAAGAAGTATTAAATTTGGAAAGCAGTGCTGCTTCTTGTGGCCTGCCATGTAGATCTAAGAATTTCAAAGGTCGTAATGACATTTGCTTTCAATAATGAAAAATAAACTCTGTTGCAGGAAAATCAGAACTTTGGGACTGTGTTGTGGTAGAAACTGAGCAGGTACAACCAAGCCTGGGTATGCAGAGTGCCACAGAAAGCCATCTGTTATGAGACAATGAGGGGACACACGCTTATGGGCAGAACTTGATCACACAGAGCAGAGAAATATGCAAAGACATAATGCTGACTTAACATGTTTGTTTAAAGATGAGGTGCTCTCAAAACATGAGACTGATGAGGATGAAGCAAACACTTTTGATTGGGGTGAGACTGCACTTGATGGGCTTTTGGCAACATAATTTTGCTATACATTAATTTAAATGCAATGGAAAAATACCAACTCTAGGATTTTCAGCTGTTTCTGAACTGAGACAATAAAAGTGACTACTCAGTTTTATGTAGGTTTTTTCTGAAAAAAATTAATAGTTGGGTGACTGAAAGAATCAGTACTGCCCAAGAACCAAGAACATCTTTCCTGTTTGGCCACCATCTTCCTGCAACTTGGTCAGTATTCTTTACTAAGGGTAATTTATTCACAGACCCCATTGCTCTCTACAGGTTTCAGATGCTGTATTTAGCCCTCTGTGCAAGGCATAGCACCTTACAGAACTTGATCATCACAACTATAAAATCAGTTTTGATCCATGACCCCAATGAGAATTACTCAAGAGCCTCTGAAAGTAAAGTGCAGATTTTACTCTTCAGTACCAGCAGTTGAGTTATAGTAGTAAGAAATGAGCTATTTGTTGCAGGTGGATAGTAATAAAATGTTGTCTTTCATCAAAAGATTTACCTTTTGGTTAAACAAAGGTTAATGCCTCAGGGTGTTAGACCTAATACTCTTACAGGGTCATTATCATCAGTGCTCTGACTCCTTGCCAAGTCACAGAGATCAATTTATATGATGATGGAGTGATCAGTTTTCCCTTGGTTAATGGTGGATAGCACATGGGTAAAATTTGGTACTATATTAGATGATAAATTTGCTCTCCAATCACAAATTTAATCAGTGGGATCAGACCTCAGTGATAAAAAACACCAATGCACATTTACTTTCATGTTATACCCCATTGGATAATACTGTCATACAATCATATCAGAGAATGGTTTGGGTTGGAAGGGATCTTAAAGATTGTTTATATCCTGATGGCATCTGCAGACCTCCCCTCATCAAAGCTTTAGTCTGATAAGCACTGTACAATCCATTCTGATTGTTCTTCATGAGGATAATCATTGTAAGAATATATGCACCTAATAGTAATGCAGAGTTGAAGGTGACTGTTGAAGGTGACTTTTCCTCAGCCAAAACTTTTTGATATTTGCCAATATTTTAAATGAATGTCATATTTGCCAATATTTTAAATGAATGTCATATGTTAATGAGTTAGAGTTTTTTTGTTCTTGTTGGTTTTTTGTTTGTTTGCTTGCTTGTTTTTTTCCCTGAGAATTATAGGTCTAGAACAGAAGCTGGCAATGTTTCATGTCTTAAAAGTGGGTGACTTCATTTTAAATAAACTACTATATGCTACACTCATTATTTGAGTGTCAAAGCATCTCTACAATCAGTTAGTGTAATGGTTTCCATTTAATTTGTGTGATATGGTAGGAATTATGTGTATCTTCTTTAGCACCTAATTTTCTTTTGAAATCTGTAATTAGCCTAAGCTCATCAAATTCGTTATAGTTCTACCAGGCAGACTGCTCTTGGACTGGTGAAAAAATCCATTTTATTGAAACCTATGTTTTAGGGGAAAAAGCACAAGGTGAACTTCCTGAAGGTTGGGATATTGGGCTTCTGTCCCCTGGACTTCTGATGTTCTGCTCAGTGAGTGCCCATGGCCCTCAGATGTGTGTCAGCAACCATCCAGCAGACCCAAAGCCCGATGAAGATGCCAATATATGTAGCTAGCAGACTTCTCAACTCTGTAGGCTGGCAACTGGAGATTTCTAAATATCTTTATTCTATTGGGCTTGCTCCTGCTTCCTCAGTAGGATCCTGGGAACCCTCAAAATTTCTAAGGTTCCTGCCTCATTGTTTCTGGACACTCAGATATACATTT